TGGGCTCCTCCTGCTCGTCTTTGTCTTCAGTGATCTCTGAATCCTTGGGCACCTCCTGCTCGTCTTTGTCTTCAGCGATCTCTGAATCCTTGGGCACCTCCTGCTCGTCTTTGTCTTCAGTGGCTTCATGTGTGGTTTTTATATGTGTTACTTCAGCCTCATGGTTGTCTAAATTATTATCTTGTGGCAGTGGCTCCGTGGATATTCTCATCCCCTCCGTTAGATGCTCTATTTGATCCTCTGCTGATTTTTTGGTTTCATCCTGAGCTTCCTTATGTCCAGTGACTTCTACATCATTTTCATTCTTATCAGACAAAATTTTCTCTGAGTCACTGGTTCTTTCATTCACATCAGAATTATCAGATGTAGAATTCAAAGAATCTTGAAGAACTGGCTCCATGTTCTCTGAGTCCTTTGGGGATTTTACCGAGAGTGATTCATCATGGGTTTTTACATCCTCTTCCTCCTCGTCTTCCTCGTCCTCATCTTCCTCTTCATTCACTTTTTTTGCTGTCATGTCTACTCCAGTGACAGCTGAAAACACAGCGTCTCCGAGTGATGTCCACATATTCTTCTCCTCTGCTGTCTTTGGTCTATCCTCAGGTGTCAATGGCAGACTTTCAGGATTTTTAGGAGACTCCGGTGTTGGAGTGTTAGAGGATTCTCCTGAAAAAGACAGCAGTGGAGTTTCCTCTTTAGTATCACTATTATTTTTGGGCTGATCTTCCACATCCTCACTGTCGTCTTCTGGATTTGGTGTAACTTTCTTGGTGCTTTCTTCATCTGTTACAACAGCATCAAAAGTTGTCCCAAGGGTAGTTTTTAACTTGGGGATTGGCACTCGCTCATCATCATCGTCCTCTTCTTCTGAATTCACTTCTTGTGTGGTTATGTCTACTCCGGTGACAGCTGAAAACACAGCATCTCCGAGTGATGTCCACACGTTCTTTTCCTCTGCTGTCTTTGGTTTATCCTCAGGTGTCGCTGGTGGAGTTTCAGGCTTTTTAATAGAGTCAGATGCTGGAGTGTTGATGGATTCTTCTGAAAAAGACAGCAGTGGAGTTTCGTCTTTAGTATCAGTATTATTTTCGAGATGATCTTCCACATCTTCACTGTCCTCCTCTGTATACGGGGTAACTTTCTTGGTGGTGTCTTCATCTGTGATCACAGCATCGAAAGTTGTCCCAAGGGTCGTTTTTAACTTAGGGATTTCCACAGATGGTTGAGTGTTGATGGAGTCTTCTGAAAAAGAGAACAGTGGAGTTTCTTCTTTAACATTAGTGCCACTTTCTGGATGGTTTTCCATGTCTACACTCTCCTCCTCTTCTTCATATGGGGTAATTTTCTTGGTGATTTCTTCATCGGTGACGGTGGCATCAAAAGTTGGACCAATGGTCGTTTTCAACTCAGGGATTTGAACTCCTTCAGAAGATGGGACTGGTTCGCTTTTTGAAACAAAATCATCTTTGGGCACAGACTCTACTTCAGATTTTGTGGGTGTATCTTTGGTTTCCCTCTTTTCTGACAAGTTTTCAGGGACAGACTCTGGTACATGTTTTTCCTTAACCTCTTCAGCTTCTGTAGCATCACGTGCAACTTCTGCATTGGACTCCATTATGTTTTGTAAAGGTGTTTCAGCTGACTGATCAAAAACGGCTGAAGAGGCACTTTGATCATTAGGGGCTTTATGAAACTCCTCCAAGTTATCATGATGCTCAGTTTTTTTTTCACTCTGAGCTACTTCTTCTCCTGTTTCTATTGCTTCTGCTGCTTGGACTTGGTAAGATGTTTTGTTGTTTTCGCTATCATTCTCCTCTGCTGACAAGCCAAGGAGCAAATCTACATCATAATTATCAAACTTGTCAAATCCAGTGTCAAAACAGACAAAATCTGTTTCCTGAGAAGAGATAAAAAAAATTTAAAAATTACATCTTACTATCTGTGGTAGTCACACGTGGATTATCTTCTTATATATTTCCATACCTCAGCTGGAACTTCATATTCGTTATCAGTATAAATGTGGTTAACTGCCAGAAGGTCTTTTGGGAAATAGCCAAAGTGGCTTCCAACCTATTGCGAGAGAACATGTTCAGGATTTTAACTACACAAATTAAATCCAGAGCTCAATAAATATGTGCTATAGTATACTTACACTTCCGGCCCATATGTCAGGCCTTCTTCCTGACAGCTTGTAATATACATAGACGGTTTCAGATTTCTTGAAAGACAAGAACCGACAATCAGGTCCTGAGAAATCATTCACAGCTTTCCCCCGACACAGCAGCACTGAAAAAAACAAAACAAAAAACAAAGGGTAAGAATGGCTTATTCAAAGATTTTATTTGTTTTGGGCTTAGTTCAAGTCACCTGACACCAAGAAGCTGAGTTTGAATCCACTGCAGGCTAAGGCCGCTGTGTGGTGCTTTCATATTGTCCGGTGAGTTTTCTAGAAACTACTTCTTGATGACAGAAACCCCCAGGTTTATTTGCGTCTCAGGCTAGAATCGAACCAGCAATCTTTTGCTTGACAAGCCAACATGTAAAGCACTTGGTGATTCTATATTGGCCATAAGTGTGAATGGTTCGTCAGGCCTCCGATAGACCATCTGGAATGGACTGCACCCCAAATATGATCCTGAATTGGATATGCAGAAGAAACTGGTTGGATGGGTTCTTGGATGCACCAGATGTAAAACACCAGGCTAAAGCTGATGTTTATACTAAGCATTCAACCCTTAGCTGAAACCAGTAATTTTGGTTTGTTGTCATTTCCTACAGCCTGTCGTGTCAGAGAAACAAAGACATCTTAACATAAACAATAACTAATACTTACAGCTGAATGTGCATATCAGTCAACAAGAGGGATGATAGCATACAGGGTCAGTAATTCTTGTACTTATCTGTCGGCAGTTTTCTCCTGTTATGTTGTTAGGTATTTATTCCACACATCTCACTGGACAACTACATTTTAACTACAACATACTTAACTGATGTAAAGCTAAATAACAGAAATGTATGTTGCCACTTTAACAACACGTACATTAGAAAAATAAGCCCAAAACTGATGCACAAAAAGCAGAAAAGGTGAAGCTTTAACTATGATTCAAGTATTAGCTACTAACCACTGTCTTAAATTTTGTATTTCACTCAGACTTCTTCCTGAGTGGCTGAGTTTCAGCTCTGACTTGTGTTTTATCAGTGTGTGATATTTACTGTTTTATGAGTCAAAATTAGCTCCCCCTGATGATAAGTCAACAATAAAAATACGTTCTTATCACCTATAGATGACTTTGCGGTTGTGGTTAACAATTGCTAAATGAATATTCTGTATTGTAAATAAAACTGCTGCGTGTCCTGCACTGAATGTGCCTGTACCTTAAGTCTTGCACTGAATGTAGAGGTTAAGAGTTAGGAGGCAGGGTAAAAATGTAAACTTTGCTAGCTAGAAGCGTTACAGAAGCATATTAATTTGTGGCATGGATTTGTGGGATTGGGCAAAGCAGCCCAATCCCACAAATCCAGATGAGAGTGAGGCAAATGTGGCTGAACACTATAAACACCGTGGCTTTAACTTCACCTAGCACCTTTACCCCGAACATTAGCAGAGCGAGCCGGCCGGTGGCTAATTAGCTGCTAACCTTAGCTTCCACTATCCGGGAGCGAGGCAGGCCGAAGCTGACAGGCACCCAGCCAACATGGGCTGCATCGAAACCAGTAATCCTACCCAGCCAAATGATTAATGTTAATGTTTGCTTATCCTGTTTTCACTGGGCATCACACAGGTAAACAGCATCACAACAATTGCAAGAGGAGATCAAGGTCGCAAATATCGACCGGCAACAGGTCAAGAGATAAAGGCAGTTTATGGCTGTAGTATCGGGTTGGTGCGAAGACGCATCAGAGAAACCCCCCTGAGATAATAGTTGGAAAGCCAGCGGACTTACTGCTGCACTCCATATCGGCGCATCTCTTAATGTCGGAGAACCTTCTCTCCAGGGCTGCGGCTGACATAAAGTTAAATAAAAGTAATAAAAAGCCCTGTCGGTAAACGTGTTTTGCTGCCATGCTGGCAGTTTCTGTTGACTGGATTGACTCCGCTGCTGCTGCTGGAGCATGAGCACTGGGCAGCAGGAGCCGACACGTCAGCACAGCAGATCCGGCTGGGTGTAGGCTCAGGATCGCTTTTCACAGGATGCATGATTGGATGTGTCTGCTTCATGTGGCCGTGGTGGAGGAAAAAAAAAAAAAAAAAAACAAAAAAAAA